CCTATCGGGGTGGGGGGGCCGCTGGGGCCGTCTCTGGCTGCCAGCTGCGGCGGCGGAGGGCTTGGAGGCGGTGGAGGTGGCGGCGGCGGAGGGCTTGGAGGTGGCGGCGGCGGCGGAGGGCTTGGAGGTGGCGGCGGAGGGCTTGGAGGCGGCGGCGGCCGCGGAGGGCTTGGAGGCGGTGGTGACGAAGGGGATGGAGGGCTTAACGGTGGTGGCGATGATCCTGTGGGCCTCAATAGTGGTGCCGGAGATGAAGGCCAGGTGGGGCGCATGTCTTGTGTGGTTTCGGAACTTCCAGAAAGCGGTTTTGGAGCGCTAAGAACGGGGAGCTGCTGCTGCATTGAGCGGGTGGGTGGGAGCGGTGGCTCCGGCACAGGCTGTGCTCTTTCTGGTCGTACAGGGTAGACGGGAGGCGCCTGTACGGCGCCGGGGATTCCATGTGAGTGTGGCGACTGTGAAGGGGGGCCCTGCGTGGAGGTCGCCGGCGGCAGCGGCGGGCTGGCGGCGGGTGTTTTGGAGTACGGGACGGAGGGCGGTTGGGGTGATGGCGGTGCGGGCGTGTCTGGGGTTGGTGGCGACGGAGATGGAGGTATCGGCGGCGGCGGCGGCGGTGGGCTAGGTGGCGGCGGCGGCGGTGGGCTAGGTGGCGGTGGCGGCGGTGGGCTAGGTGGCGGCGGCGGCGGTGGGCTAGGTGGTGGCGGCGGCGGTGGGCTAGGTGGCGGCGGCGGCGGTGGCGGTTCGGTGAATGGAGATGGAGGAGGAGGCGCAGGTGGAGGATGGCGAGCTGTCCCAGTCGCAGGCGGCTGGAGGGGGCCTCGGGGGGCTCGGGGCCCCCGGGGCATCCCGGGCGATCGAGGTGCACGTGGCGGCGGCCTTGGTGACGGCGGCGGCCGAGGTAACCGCAGAGCCGTACCTCCCCTCGGCGAAGGCGGGGGACCTGCCATCGGGGTGGGGGGAAGAAAGCAGACGCACGCGAATGGCGCGGACGGTGAAGGCGGTGACCAAAGGACGGCGGAGGAAGATTTCAAGAAGAGAAAGGAAAGGGAGGAGGAAAGGAGTCTGCAGAAAGTGCGGGAGAGGAGAGGAGGGGAGAGGAGGGAAGGGGAGGGGAGGGAAGGGGGAAGGCGGAGCGCATCGACCCGCCAGAGGGCGAGTTCGGGGCGGGTGGAGAGGCACTACCTGCAGGCGGAGGTGCACGCGGTGGACTGCGGACTGCGGGACTGTTGCCGCCCCCCCCCGTGGACACCCTGGCGGCGGCGGCGGCGGCGGCGGCGAACTGTGACGGGGAGCTGTGACGACTGTGAAGTCCTAGTGACCCGCGGGTCGCTATACCGCTTCAGTGGCTAACCGGTGGGTTACCAGGTGCACCACGTTGTCATATGAACCCCCGGGTCACCGGAGCCACCTGCTCCAGGAGACCCATTAGGCTCGAGATTTGTACGACTTGTACGACCTGTCTCCTTTCCTACCCGGGACCCCTTTTCAAATCTGACAGCGTCTTCAAATACAGGCAAGGTAGGGCCCCTGCCCCTGCCCCTGCCCCTGCCCCTGCCCCTGCCCCTGCCCCTGCCCCTGCCCCTGCCCCTGCCCCTGCCCCTGCCTTTCCTTTTCTTCGGGATGGATGGCTATATGACCGGTGTGGGTCACTGCACCCACCCATTCCCCCCCACCCTCCCCACGCAGGCAATCGCTGACGTGTGCGGCGTGTCATCACCTCCCAGCCCCTGTGCCCTGTGCCCTGTGCCCTGTGCCCTGTGCCCTATGTCCTACTAGGAGAAGAGCGCACACACTAGAAGAGGAGCACCTCACACACCTGGCGGTGACAACGGCTCCAATGCCGCCGCGGGAGCAGCCGCCGCCGCAGCGGAAGCGGGCCCCAGCGGTCCCAAGAACATTGACGCCGCCAGCAACACCAACAGGGTGGACGAGGCGGCGACCGTTCGGAGGACACCGGCTAGCGGCTGCAGCCGGCCCCGCGGCCGCCCCTTGGTTTCGGAGCTGCTCCCTGGTGGGCGCTGCCCCCAGGCTCCAATCCGGCTTCCAGCCGCGCCACCGGAGAGCTGTCGCCTCCGCGGCTGTAACGCCCGCAGGCGATCTTGCCGTACAGTTGCCTGATGAGGAGCTGCTGTCACATTGGCTATCATTGGGTAGCCAGCAGCAGCGGCGGCGGCGGTGGCGGCGGTGTTATTGATGGTGGTGGCGGCAGCTGCCGCGGCATTGGTGCAGGCAGGTTCATATCGCTTCTTGCTTTGGCGCTGGGAAACGACCTGCTGCTGCTGCTGCTGCTGCTGCTGTTGTTCTTGTTGTTGTTGTTGTTGTTGTTGTTGTTGTTGTTGCTGCTGCTGCTGCTGGCAGTCTGACGCGGCGCCCTTGGAATCCGCTTCACTGCGTGGTCCAGCGGTCCAGGGGCCTTGGTCGCCGCCGCCGCCGCCGCCGCCGCCGCTGCCGTCGCCGTGGTCGTCGCCGCGGCAAGCGCGCCTCACAGCGCATCCACCTGCTGTCGTACCTTCTGTCGTGACGTCCGCGGCGGCGGCGGCCCCGGTCGGGCTCTGCGGTCTCCGGCTTCGCCCCCATAACGGCCCGAGCACCTGTGTCAACGGGAACCTTATCGGACTTGGACTTGGACTCCGACCTGCGGCGACCAGTACTGAGGGTTGCACGTGCACCCGCGACCTCACTCGCACCCGTGTCTGTAACTGCTGCTGCTGCTGCTGCTGCTGCTGCTGTGGCAGCGGCGGCGGCGGCGGTCGTTGGAGCTCCTGCGGTTGCTGCAGTGGCTGTGGCGACTGTGATGGCGGTGGAGGCTCCTGTAGCTGCAGCTGCGGCTGCTGCGGCTGTGGCTGTGGCGTCTGCGCCATCGATGTGGACGATAGATCACTCACCAGAGGAATATTAAGGCAGCTCGTGGTGCTGCTGCTCCAATCGCTGTCATTAGCCGTGGCCATCAGGTCACACAGACCCTCATCACCACCTGGTTTGCCTTGCGTTTCTTGGCGTAAGGCGCCCCTCTGCTGGTCTGGGCATCGCTGAGGTTGCGTTGGGCGCGGAGGTGAAGACTGTTTATCTTCATATGGCCTGGTACCTGTGTGGTCTGTAGATCGGCTTACACTTCCCCAGGGGTTGGTTACATGGCCAGGCCCCTGCATGTCAGGTGCGCATGGGTTGCAGGGTTCGCAAAGGCGAGAAGTGTGAGACGGCAGCTGACTCAAAACAAAATATCACGCGCGAAAATAATAATGCTTATTGGTACTGCTGGTGTGTATGGCCAGTTGGTTAACGGCAGCGCACATGCCGTGATGGTTAGGTTTACAACCAAAAAAGTAAGCTGCACCATGAAGCACTGGTTTAAGATAATGTTTCTAACTCATTACTAGAATTTCAGGTGCCAAAGCTTGTGCAGCGTATTCGTGGGTCATACTTGCAGTTACAGGGGCCGGTAATCGTTGGTAGGACGAAGTCGTCAAGGTTAGGCTATTGTTTCTGACGTTAATAGCACAGAAAGGTCAGATTTATCGTCGGTACCCTCCAAACCTGGAATTGCGAATTCCGGCCTCGTGCAGCGAGCATCCGTCCTTCTGAAAACAGACCTCCGTGCCCAGATCCCTCAACCGCAGTTAATTAGCACAAACTCGTACATTATCCCAAGTTATTCTCGGCCATCTTGCAATTCTCGTGAAACTGGTTCCGACGGAGTGTCGCAACAGTTAAACAGCAAAAGTTCCCTTACTTAGTCGTGACGCCTCTGTGAGTGACAAGATGCAACCCTTTAGTATTCTTCAATGTTAGTGCTGAAAAACGTAAGCTGGGTCACTCTGATTTCGGCTACTCATGAGGGAGAGCGGTTGAAAGTTGGATCAGCCCTAATTTAAATTGGGTCTTCGAGTTTACGCTCCTAGCATGTTCATCAAATATTTAGAATGCAGAATCTTGTTTCAACTCGGAAGTTATGTACTTTTGACAGACATGGCTTCTCATTAAGCGTCATTTTTCACCGGCGGGCGCCCAGCATGCATAGCACGCGGCTGGCTTTAACGCCCAAACATTTTCACGTTCTTCAGGACCAAATATGTATGGTCGAAATCAGGAGAAAATTTTTGGTATCTCCAAGTATGATTGGAGGATTGATTTATGATGTCGGATTTCCAACGCCAAGCCCCATGCTCGTGTAGGAGCCCCGTTCCGTGTAGTCAAATATTCACAGTTATATATCTACAAAACGAAAAGCTATATCCCCTTCCCTATGCCGAAGCTCTTCCCCAGTCGAGTGTCTATCCGGCATGCGAAAGATTGCCATTGTGCCACCTATACGGCTGACACATGAAATGCGCTTAAAACAATACCTATATCATGCTTCAATAATGCAGTGCTCTCATACGTAATTGCAATGCAAAAGGTAAGGTTTGTGGGAGCTGATGCCAAGCCTTGTACTCGGGGCGAAGGCTGTCAGCAGCCGTACAGCCGTACATCATGATAGCCTCCACCACTACCAACTAGTTTCACACGAATCCCGCTTTACCTGCCCGCTACACCCCCACCCCCCTTATTTTCTATCCAAAGGACCCATACAGATACGGGATCCATACAGCGATCCAGGATCCATTATATGCTGGGCAGTCCAAAAGTACATGCTTTTCGTCTTCCACGTCTTCATTCCTGCCGATGATGAGCTCTAGCCGCAATAATCGCATAATCTGAGTGGGCACTGTGCATTAGAACGCCGGCTGCAACTAGAGGTAAGAATGGTGCCACCAGTGGTGCTGCTGTCCCAACTCCCCACCACAAACAGTTCTTTGTTTGTCTTGGCATTGTCTCCATCATCCATTTCCGGTAAGAGTACTAGTACGAGGTAAGAGTACTAGTACGAGGTACGAGTACGAGTAAGACTATAATTCAAATATGCGTGTATATGATGCTGGAGCTCTGTTCCAGCCACCACCTCCTTGGAAGCATCGATGGCATCTCCATCCATCCAGAGGAAAACAGGGAACAGCCCACCTGCTCCGAGTCCCGTTTTCCATGCCAACCCTTCTGCCTACCAGTCCTGGGCTCCGGAGATTCCGGTGCCAAGGCTGCATTTGACTTAGCTCCCGCGGTCGCGGCTGATGACAGCTGAGGAGCGGTGATCACCACCACAACCAACAACAGGACCGGCATGAAGTTTGCCTTCATTCCAAATTTACAATCCTTTCCTGTAAAAATATTCTTCGTGTCCGCATGTACATACATCCTACATCCTACACCACTTCAAAGGAGGGAAGGAAACTGCATCAAGGCAAGCAGTCATCGGCGCGGGCGCACAGGTGTGGGTGAGAGGTACATCCAGATACCGGATACCTAGCGCTAGAGACGCGGCACCTCCCCGCACCCACCGGCCTAAAGCAGCCGCCGCCGCCGCCGCCGCCGCCAGGTCCCACTAGCATCTCATCCACCACAGCCCCACCTCAACTACCGCACCGCACCGCCCACCACCACCACCGCTATCCATAACCACAGCTCCACCACCACCGCTGTCGTAAGCTGACCAACCCAACAGCACTTTTTGCACCAATAGCAGCATCACCAGCATTACTACAAAAACCTCCTCAACCCGATTCGTACTAATTAGTTGGTGGCTATAACTGTGACTGTGACTGTGACTAGAGAGCAGCAGAGAGAGAGAGAGAGAGGGGAAAGAAGGCCGATCAACTTCCCAAACCCCAAACTCCCACTCCCCGCCAACGGTCGGGAATGGTGCGGAATGATATGACGTAAAAGCAGGCGATAAGGCGCTAACGGGGAAAGGCTACAATATAGAAGGAGCCGCGGACACCGGTTCCCTGACAACTCATGTGACAACGTCTCCCGGAAAAACCCACAGCCACGTGTGCATACACACACACGGCCTCGTTCCCCTCCCCCCAACCCTCCATTTCCATGTCCCCCCACCCCCACCCCCCACCCACATGAGAGGGTGTACCGCCCTCCAGGGAATGCATACATCTACCTACCTACAGCCAAACACGGCCCAATGGTTCCACACACCTNTCGCGCATAAACCCTTCCGATACCGAACTACCGAACTACCGAACTGCTCAACTACCGCAACCGGAACTTCAGATGCACCACAGAGCAAACACACACCCGTGCAGCAGCTGACGCAGCAGTTCAGATCCGTAAGATCCCAACACCCGCCTCCCTCCCTCCCTTCCCCCCTCCCTCCCTCCATCGGTCACAATATCCCCCCCCCCAGCTTCCCCCCCCCACACACACAGAGGGGCTTTGCAACGCCTACTTGGCCTCGTACCAGGTATCGGCCACGTTGCAATCGGTGGCCAATTCGACCAACAGCGGCATCACCTTAGACCCACCATCACCATCACCACCACCAGCAGGATCGTCACCATCACCATCAGGCCCCCCGCCGCCGCCGCCGCCGTCGTGGCGCCACACGCCCGCTAGGTGCCCCCCCGCCGGCGGAAGGCGGTACCAGCCAGGGCCCTGCATAAGGCCCTGGGCACCGGGCGCATTCCAATGGCGAGACAGCTCGGCCCAGGGGTTGGCCATGAGCTCCATCACCAGCCGCTTGGCGTCCTCGGATCGATCCCGGGGACCCTCAAGGATGACCTCGTCGTGAATCTGTTTTTTATGGGGGCAGTTTTGCGGTTTTCGGAATGGGCAGTGGTGTGTGAAGCCCGCTAGAGGCGGTTCACGCACCTTAGCTTGAGGTTTTCTATTACGCAGTACGGTGCCAGCAAAAAAAGGCATCCGTACGGCAGAGGACCCATCGTGCATCCATCATTGTGCGGCATGACAGCGACTTGTGGTGGCGGCTCCTCGGGTGTTTGAGGAGTGCTGAAATGGGAGGTGGCCCCCCATCATATGGACGATGTAGGACGTGGTAAAATCAACTTGCGAGCTGACCTGGAACTAAGTTGATGCGCCGTTGATCCGCTAGATTTGGTTGGATGCTGGTGGTGAGTTGCCGAACCCAACGAATACACTCGGATTAGTCAGATGGGGTGACGGATTAGGGTGCCCCTCTAGCAGGGGAGAGCAGGGACTGCCCGGGAAAGGGGCCGCTGGCGAAGTTAACCACCCTGTAACAACAAACATACATGACTCCCTAACCTCCCTACTGGGGCCCACGCCGCTGCTTCCTACCACACCAAGTTATACTATACCATACTACCTACTGCCGCCGTACTGCCTTTTGCTTCCGTACTACCTACCTGCATGAGCAGTTTAAATCCCGTGGCCCTCAGCGCCTCTGACTTGTGTATAGCCACCATAGCTGCGGCCGCCACGTCAGCAGCGGAACCCTGTGTTTGAAGGTGTAGGTGGGGGGTTGGGGGGGATTAGTGGGGGGGTTAGTGATCTCACATGATCTCCCCCCCCACCAACACACACACACACACACACACACACACACACACACACACACACACACACACACACACACACACACAGCTCACCTGGATAGGTGTGTTGATGGCGGCTCGGTTGCTGTGACCACTGAGTCGGAAATCCGGGGAGCTGATGTTGGGCAGCGGACGAGTACGGCCCAGGAGTGTACGGACTTTGAACTCCTGCATAATGTACGACATGACAGCAGCGTGTTGTACATCAAGCCATGGGCAGTGGTTAATCCCGCTCCGGAATAAGGGTACGGCAAAGAGGGGTGGTCGCGAGTTATGTTTGACTTTGGAGCTAATGGCAGTGGCAGTAGCAGCGGCAGTAGCAGTAGTTGCGAACACTGTAAATCCTGCTGTTTCTTTCCTTCCCGCACGCGCACACACTGACATACTGACATCCATCCATACGCACATTTTTGGCGCTCTTGCGTGTGTCCTCCTGCCATTGCCGTACCTCCCACCGGTCGGAATACCACCTGCGGGGGAGCGGGGGAGGGAGGGGGAGGGGGAGGGAGGGGGGGAGGAGGAGGAAAGGGGGGGAGGGGGGCAGGGGGAAGCAAATGAAGACCGGCGTGTGGGTTGGGGGTTGCCAAGAAAGAGGTGCGGCGCGTGGGGAGGACGGGGAGGACAGGAAGGGGGGTGGGGACACGGAGGGGTTCACAACAGGAGGGGCTATCTATCTGGGGCCGGAGGGCCACCAAGGACATGTACGACTTCCGAAGTCCCTCCGCCTTGCCCCTCTCCCCCCCACCCCCCTCACACTCTTCCCCTCCCCTCCCCCTTAAACCCCTCGCCACCTCCCCCCATCCCGGGCAGGAAAACCCAAACCCAAACCCAAACCCAAACCCAAAACCACACCCACACCCACACCCACACCCAAACCCACACCCAAACCCAAAACCACACCCACACCCACACCCACACCCACACCCACACCCACACCCACACCCACACCCACACCCACACCCACACCCACACCCACACCCACACCCACACCCACACCCACACCCACTTATCCACGGTCTCCTGCGCTTCCTCCTTAGTGGTCTTGAAGTCCACGGCCAGCCCGTGCGCGGTCTTGCCGTACGCGATAGAGAAGTTGAGAACCTGGCCGCCCGGGCGCAATGAAACCGCAAGTTTCAGTATGGGATGATCCCATGGGGCCCAGTGACAATGATTTTCCCGTGAATACGGGGAAGGCGGCGGTGGAGAGTAAGAAGCCCAATAAAACGACATAACGACGTATTGATTGACCTTCCTTGACGGCCCCCTCCCCCCCCCTTCGCACATTTTCTCCCCCCACACCAATACACACACGCCCAAACCCCCTCAACCCCCACCACCCCCACAGCGACTCAGGGGAACATTGAAACGTTGAATCTATCGGGTCGACTGCTGCCTCTGCCGCCCCTCCCTTCCGGCCCCCCAACACACGCACACACACATTCCCCAACTACCCCCACCCCTACCCCCACCCCACCCCTAACCCTGACCCACCCGCACCTACCTTGGCCTTCCTCCGCTCCGACGCGTACTTGTCCTTCACGAGGGGCTTATCCGGCTCCCCCTGACCCTCCCACTCCAGATAGCACTCGCCTGGAGGGAGGGGGAGGGGGAGGGGAGACGGAGGGAGACCGTGTGCAACAAATTAGGAGGCGGAATGGGGAGGGAGGGGAGGGAGAAGAGGGGGGAGGGAGAAGGGAATCAAGGAAACACGAAAACACTGCCGGAAGGCGTCAAAAGTTAGAAAGTGCCTTGAGGGGAGTGAGTCCTAAGCAAGGGGGGGGGAGGGGAAGACACACACAGACACACACACAGACACACACACGCACACCAGGAACTTCCTTGCGCTGCGGGAAGGGACGGCAAGATAAGCTCGAGGGATGGTACGACAGGGTACGAGCGGCGGAAAGGCTGCGTAACCCGCCATTATGACATACAATGTCGTACATTGCGTCTCATGTCGCGGCAAGCCGCGGAAAATTACCAACATGTATGCAACCGAGGCGCCCGCCCATAACCACAAAGCGCATTTCATTTTTCCTTTTTCCCCTACCAGCAATATCGCACCATCTCCCCCACAACACGCACACAAAGACACACAAAAACACACCACCGCCACCCCGCCCATCCACAACCTGCACCGCCTCGACCCTCCTCGACCCCAAAGGCGCCCTCTCCGCCTGCCACCCACCCACCCACCATTCTTCACGGCCTCTTGAATGTACTCGTACATGCCGTACGCCGTACGGCTGTGGAAATCGCCACCCAGCTCAAAAGCCTCCTTCATGGACCTACATTTCATTTCAAACAACAGTTTAGTCAATAAATCGAAGACGCGAAGGCCCCGTTTTTCCCCCCTCCCCCTTATCCACCTCTGGCCAGACGGGCCCTAACGGGTTCGAGTGCTTTGTCGGTGAATCGCGTTGGCGTCGGTCGGCTATAGCCGGGCTAGGATAGTTGGGTCGGTCGGGTCAGGGGCGTGTCAGATGGGGGGTTGGGAGGAGCACTGTTGTTGTACATTGTACGTTATTGCCAGCAGCTTATTAGCGGCCTCCAGCCGATTTGCCTTTGCTCCTTTCGTCTCGGCCGCCAGGACCTCACTTGTTCCAATGTACGGTATCTTTTGCTGTCCGCCTTAACACTTAGTAGTTTTAGAATACTACGGACGAGATTTTTCTGCTTTCTTTCCGCATTTAATTTTTGTCTTGCCGGTTTGGTGGTACGTAGTTTTCCGCTATCTTCATGGTTACATCACTTCGATGACCGCGATGACTCCCCTCCTTCCGTCCCCCCCTTCCCCCTTCCCCCTTCCCCCTTACTGGCAGTTGGTCATGTGCGCCAGGATCCTGAGCTCCAGTTGCCCGTAGTCCGCCACCACCAGCGTGTTGCCGCCCTCGGTGTCGGCGGTGAAGGCGCGGCGGACCTTGTAGCGGTCCTTCTCCAGGGCGGGCTGGTTCTGCAGGTTGGGCCTGAAGAGGGAGAGGAAGGGGGGAAAGGGGGGGAAGGGTGTGAGGGGGTGGGGAGAGGGAGGGGAGAAAAGACGAACCACGTGAGCGAGTGAAGCAGCTGCCAAGAAAATAGTGCTGCGGCAGATGTGCAGGTTGGGCCTGAAGGGAGAGGGGAAGTTAGGGGAGGTTAAGACGAACCACGTGAACGAGTGAAGCTGCTGCCAGGGCAAGAGTGTACCAGAAGAGTAGAACTGACCAGAAGTGCGGCGACCTCGGGATGATGTGGTGAAGGGGGGAGGGTGTGTGTGCGGGGGGGGGAGAGGAGAAGGAGCGAGTGAAAAGCTGCTGCCAAGGAAAGACTGATGCGGCAGATGCACAGGACGCAGGACTGACCAGTTGGCGGTTGTGAAGAAGGGGGAAGGGGTTAGGGTGGGGAGCGGGAGAAAGGGGGAGGGAGAGAGGGGAAAGGGAGGGAGGGGCAGCGAATCAAACGACGGTGATGCGCGATTAAGCCCGGGGGGATCAGCTGCCTACGTCTAAGCACCTAAGGGAGGAGGGGCAGGCGGAAGGAGGGAAGGAGGGGCTCTGTGGCCCTTACAGGGGCAACGCACACGCTAAGCCCATCGGTGTGTTTTACTCGGCGGGGGCCGGGCGGGGGGGAAGTCGCCAGGCACGGCGTAGTGCCCCATACAACTACGAAATAACCCATCGTCCCGCATGTCCCGCTGCAACCCCCCACCCCACCCCCTGCCCGACGTCCATCGCCGCAATGGATGGTCACATACACAGCACGGTGAGAGTCTTCAAGTATGTATGTCGTATGCCGTGCATCGCGTACGACACACAGTGCACCCACACGACCGCTGAAATGTGCAGACGCATTTCACAGCATACGTGCCTTCGTGCCGACAGGCGGCCTGTCTCCGTGTTGATGTTGAGGGAGCAGTGGACTCGGTGCACCGCACGAGACGGGGTGTCCCGTCCCGGGGGGTTGGGGAGCACGGTGGTGGTGGAGGTGGCGTCGCTCTGGCGGCGGGGCGAGCGGGCAAGAAGTGGGGGGTGAGGGGGGTTGGGGGAGAGGGAACGGGGGAAAGGAGGAAAACACAAGTCAGGCACAGGCGGGGGGGGGGTTGAAGACGAACTACTGGCGAATGGAGCAGATACCAAAGACGGGGTTAGGGGGGTAGGTTGAATCCTATAACCCGCGAGACAAGACGGGTCAACTGCGGGGTCCCTGGGAGGGACGTGGCAGCAGCACCCACCGGGTAAAGGAGTGAGATAAGTGCGGATAAGAAGCACGGGCCAAGTCTGTCCGTCTGTCTGTCTGTACGTCATTAACCTAAGCAACAGACATACAAACACAGGCGGCACTCTCTTGGACAGGTCGGTCCTCCGGATGCGGCTACGGCCGTACAATGCGAACTTCTCTCGGTCCGTCTTCCGTACCTCCGTACAACCGTACGTACGGCCCACCTGTAACGGAATGATAAAGGCGCTCAACAACTTCTCGATGGCGTTGATCTGCGGGGAAAGGGGGGGGGGAGGAGAGGCGCGCCAACCACGAATAAACGACAAGTGGGTTGCTAAACAAATATTAATGGATTTCACTCGATCAGATGCGTTTGCACCACTGAAAAGCATCTCCATCCCTCCTTACCTCCCCCCTCCCCTCCCAAGCCCCCCATTCCAGACCCCATTCCATTATTATTCCTCCCCCCCTAACCTAACCCTCTTCTCCAGCACTACAGGTCTTTGGTATCTGCTCCATTCGCCAGTGGTTCGTCTTCAACTCCCTTACCCCCCCCCCCGCCTACCTTACCTTTCGCAGCCCCCCGACACACACACACACCCTTTCCCCGCCCAACCCCACGCACCTCGCACAGCGCCTCTACGGCAATACACGCCCTAAGTCCCTCCTCCCCGCCGCCACACGCCGCGTACAGGCGACCCAGGCCCTTGGCCTTGGCCTCCTTCTCCAGGACCTCCAGCAGCGCGGCGTCCTCCACAACAGGCACAGGGCCCACGGGGACACTAGCCACCGAGTCAGCGGCAGCAGGGCTGGTTTCGGAGGAGGAGGAGGGGGAGGAGGAGGAGGAGGGGGAGGAGGCGCCTGAAGGGAGGGAGGGAGGGAGGGAAGGAGGGAGGAGGGGGGCAGGGAGAAAGAGATGCGGGTGTGGGAGGTGAATTACTGGAAGTTAAAGGGTGGGCGGGGTGGAGATGGGGTTTGTTTGTTGTCCAGGAGCCCGCGGTCCGGAGTTGCGGAGGGAAGGGAGAGAGACGTCATGAAAGTACGACGTGTCTGGGGCAGGTTTTAGGGTTATGGGTACGACAGGGCGAATGAGAAACGGGCAGGATGGGGGGGGGGCGGGGGGTTGAGGGTTGGGGGAGCACGAGGTGTGAGGGTGGGGGCCGAAACACACAGCACACACCAGGGAATTCCCCCGCCCCCTTCCCCGCATAAAAATACACACACTCAGATCATTACACACACACACATACACACACATATACGCACACAATGTGGAGGGATCAAGCGCTGCAGGTGGTTGGCAGTTGCACCCTAATGCGGTCCCCTCTGCAGCCCACCTCTCACCTCCTCACCCCTGTGTTGCCTGTTTTGGAACACCCTAAAACACCCTAAAACACACCACGTTTTACCCGTCGCGAGGGGGCCCCCCCCACCCCACCGGACACATGCAAGGCCGCACCCGCCGCTGCCTCCACCTCCACAGGGTACACCTCCTCGTCTTCCTCCAAACCGCCGTTGGAATTTCCGTTACCGTTACCGTTGCTGTCACCGTTATCTTCCGTTCCCTGTGTAGCGGTGGCACGTGAGGGGGAAAGAGAAGGGCAGGGTGGTCCTGTTCGGTTGTAGTCACTCGACCTTTCGCGTTCCCATAAAACCCACCCTCCCTCCCCCACTCCCTCCCCCACTCCCTCCCTCCCTCCTTCATCACCCCTCCTACTCCGCGCCCTCTCTAGTCTCACCTCACTCTCCACCTTTCCCCCTTCCCTCACCCCACCCACCACCATCTCAGCAAGAGCCTCATCCAGCAGGTCGTTCACAATGGGCACACGGGCAGCCGCCTCCGCCGCCTGGGCCGCCTCCGCCTCCGCCGCCTCCGCCTCTGCCGCCCGCGCCTCCGCTGCCCGCGCCTCCAGCAGCTTGGCCAGCTCCTTCCGAGCGGCACCGGGTTTGCCAGCTAGTCCCCTACATAGCGATTATTTATTTATTGTTTGTTTGCTTTTATTTTTTTACCTTTTATGTACGTAGGGGATGGGTTTTTCGAAAGGACGGAGACGACGTCGTACGCCAAGGCAGGTCAAAGGGGAGCGAGGCCCGTGAAGGGCGATGACGAAGGCAGTGTAAAGAAGTAAATCCGACGGAGGAAACTACGGCAGGTAACATAAACCCTAAGCGGACAGGAACCTAAAACTCTAAAAAACCAGCCCCAAAGCAAGATTGCCGGGGAGAGGGAGTTACACGGGGATGGGGGTGTGGAGGGGGAAAACTGGGGAGAGAGGGCATGGGAGAGACGAATACACATGTGTGCACACGTGAAGAATTATTTTCTCGCAGGTAATTGAGCGGGGGGGACATCACCGTGAAAGCGAGGGGACCTCCGCGGGTGCTGGGCAGGGCAGAGGCTACACCGGCCGTACACCGGCTACGCGATGCCCTCTCTCCCCCTCCTCCTTCGCCAACCCCCAGCCCTGGCACGCTATCCTTCTCCCCTTCCTCCTTTCCCCTCCCCCCTCCCCACTACGTCCTCCCCCTTCTTCTCCCCCCTCCCCTCCCCCACCCCCGCCGCCCCACCTGAGCACCCTGATGCTGACCGCCGCCGCGTTGGTGGCTGTAAGCAGCTCCGGCTCCAGCCTGCCCCGAACCCCCGGACCCCAAATACCATGAAGCAGCAAGTCCTTGTAGCGACTGGACCTGTTGGGTGTGGGAGGTAGGGTGGTTAGGTAGGGTGGTTAGGTAGGGTGGTTAGGTAGGGTGGTTAGGTAGGGTGGTTAGGTAGGGTGGTTAGCTAGGGTGGTTAGGTAGGGTGGTTAGGTACGGTGGTTAGGTAGGGGGGTCGATACGGGGGTAGGTAGGGGGTTAGGTAAGGGGGG